TTTTTCTTATTCTTCACTATCTTTACGAATTGTGTCACTGTTAGTAGTCGTCCATCTATCCTTGTCAGTCTCCGTTAACGCCATCAATGTTTTTATGACGTATCAAACGATACTGATGAATGGCTTGAAAAAAAAAATCGACTCATGCAAATTGACCACCTAGTCTACCTCAATGCCTACCCCATTCCCACTGAACCATCGTCCTTCCTTCTCCCGAGTCCCAACCTAGATTTCCTATTTGTGCCTCGCACCCCCTGTTTTATCGCCGTCGCCTTGCGGCCATAGAACCCGACGTCTCCTCTCATTTCTCACACTCTTTTTCCAGGAAAAAATCCAAAAGTACCATTGTTAAAAAAAATCCAAAAATACCACCCAACCCCAAAAAATTCCAAAAATACCACCCTTTTTCAAAAACCGCCACCCCACCCAGCGGTTTGGTCGAAAACCGCTTGTCGGGGGCGCGGTTTTGGACCAAACCGCGGGCCTAGGGGGCGGTTATAAAAAAAAAAATTGGACCAAACCGCTGGGTGGGGTGGCGGTTTTGGGCCAAACCGCCACCCCACCCAGCGGTTTGGTCCAAATTTTTTTTTTCTTCCAACCAACTCCTAACTTCGGTCGAAACTTCAAACAAACGTAACTTTGCACTCGGGTATCCAATCGTAGCGATTTTTTTTTTCATTTCGCATAACTTTTCAAGATCTACAACTTTTACTAGGATAAAATTTTCAAAACAGGAACTATTTGTGGATATACGGGACCTTGAGAATAACTTTACCTTTACTTTTCAGAAATCCATGTACATTTTGAAATTATGATTATATTAAAAGTTGTAGATCTTGAAAAGTTATGCGGAATAAAAAAAATTCATGACATTCGGATTTTGGAGCACAAAGTTATGGGCGCCCAAAGTTTGACGAAATAAAAAAAAGGTCGTTCGGGGTGGCAAATGACGTTTTTTCGAGATGAAGACGGGACCCGACTGTTTGAGACTTGCAAGATCTCAAAAAATTATTCGGATTCAAAAAATGGAGGCAGCAAACTTTTTGAGATCTTGCAAGCCGCAAACCGCCGGGTCTCGCCTTTCGTCAAACTTTGGGCGGCCATAACTTTGTGCTCCAAACTCCGAATGTTATGAACTTTTTTTTGATTCCGCATAAATTTTTAAGATCTACAACTTTTAATATAATCATAATTTCAAAATGTACATGGATTTCTGAAAAGTAAAGGTGAAGTTATTCTCAAGGTCCCGTATATCCACAAATAGTTCCTGTTTTGAAAATTTCATCCTAGTAAAAGTTGTAGATCTTGAAAAGTTATGCGAAATGGAAAAACAAAATTGCTACGATCGGATACCCGAGTGCAAAGTTACGTTCGTTTGAAGTTTCGACCGAAGTTAGGAGTTGGTCGGAAAAAAAAATGGACCAAACCGCTGGTTGGGGTGGCGGTTTTGGGCCAAACCGCCACCCCACCCAGCGGTTTGGTCCAACTTTTTTTTTATAACCGCCCCCTAGGCCCGCGGTTTGGTCCAAACCCGCGCCCCCGACAAGCGGTTTTCGACCAAACCGCTGGGTGGGGTGGCGGTTTTTGAAAAAGGGTGGTATTTTTGGAATTTTTTGGGGTTGGGTGGTATTTTTGGAAAAAATTTTTAAAACAATAGTACTTTTGGATTTTTTCCCTTTATCCAAACCTCCCCCATTACTAATAAACTTTTCTGTCTCCGTAATCCATTACTTTAATAGCCTGTTTGGATTGACAAAAAAGTAAGGAATTGGAATTCCATTTCCAATTCCATTTCCATATATTATGTTTGGAATAATAAAAAGGTTGAGAATTGAATTCCAATGGGTCTAAAATATGGGAATTACAATTCTTATCAAAAGTGATAGGAATTGAGAGAATGAAGATGGAATTAGTGGGACCCATCAATACTTTTTATTATTTTGTTGACCCACTATCATTTTACTCTCTTTCTCTCTCATTCATATTTCATTTCCCAAAATAAAACAAACATATTACATTATTCATTATGGTTAAAAGTGCAATTCATTTCCATAGTTGTAGGAATTATACCAAACACTAGAATTGGAAATGGAATTCTATAAAAATAAAAAATTGAATTCCATTTCCATTTCCATTTCTTCCGGAATTGTATCCAAACAGGCTGTAAAAGTCAAAACACAAATCCCCAAAGTCGGCAACAGAAGAACGGCGGCGAAAAGCACAACAATAAGTCAGCGACACAAGTCCCTTTATGTTTGGACTTACCAGGTCGAAAGATATCTTTTCGGCCACATTGCCACAAGTAGACAACAAAGAACATAAAATGCGGCAAGATGCTTTCAAGTTCACGTCAAGGTTTTTGTTCCCAAACCAACTGTTCAACCTCTGCGTTGGAATCGAAGTAATGGTGAAGCGGGAAAAACAGAGGAGTGTCGAAAACAGAGTATATATAAACCACCTCTCTGGATCTCTCTTCTTCACTCTCTCACTCACCTATTCATGAACATAGTAAAGCTAATAGAAGTAGAAGAAATACCATTTCCAAAAATGCTTTCTCCTCCCCCCTCCGATCATACACCAAAAACAGTGGATACTCTGTTTTCTTCAGCCTCACTTCATCTGCAGAGGCAAAAAACCCGCATTGACAACTTCTTCAGGAACCAGAACCCAGAAACCCAGCCACAGCAAGATTCTTCTATTTCAGATGTTATCAGAATTGCCGCAGAAAAGTTCATAGATTCTACTATTGAACCCACCGACCCACCATCTGGAAACTCCAACGACGTCGAACTCATACACCACCTTCTGCGTGCGGCCGATGAATTGGATCACAAGCAGTACGAGCAAGCGACCCACTTCCTCGACCTCTGTGATTCCTCGTCTTCCAAGACAGGGAATCTCGCACAACGAATCACCCACTACTTCGTCCAAGCTCTTCGCGAAAAGCTCCGTAACGAAACTAGCAGCGGAACGCACTTGGTAGCCTATCTCATGAGCGAATTCCAACGATTGAAGGTCGAAGAAACAATTACTGCTATATCCCCTATAGTCGCGGTCTTGCACGAGAAAATCCCCTTCTTCCAAGTCGGTCAGCTAGCCGGAGTTCAAGCAATCGTGGAAAGAGTCGAGAAAGCGAAAAGGATTCACATAATCGACCTCAGAATCAGAAACGGGATGCAATGGACGGCCCTGATGCAGGCTTTATCAACCACAGCCAAAGGAGAACGACGTCCTCCTGGTTCTCCACAGATTCTGAAAATCACAGCCATCGTCACCATGTCTGAAAATTTGGTACGGGGAACAGGGGAAAGGCTAGCGAAGTTCGCCGAGTCCATGAACATACCCTTCTCATTCAAATCCGTAGTGGTATCAAGCTTGACCGAAATCGACGAGGCGCAATTCGACCTCAATCCCAAAGAAACCGTGGCTGTTTTCAGTGAGTACGCACTACAGGGTCTCGTATCGGAGCCGAATGAGTTGGAGGCACTGATGGGGTTTATGAGGAAAATCCGTCCCAGCATAATGGTTGTGCTTGAATCAGAGGTGAACCTCAATTCCTCTGTCTTTGCTCACCGGTTCGTTGAAGTTCTGTTCCATTACGGGGCATATTTCGATTGTGTCAATGCCTGCCTGGAATCATCGAGTGGCGGGGAGAGGGGTTTGATTGAGTCGATGTTCTTGAACAACCATGTGAGGGAGCTTTTGGTGAAGGAAGGGGAAGAGATGGCGAGGGTCGTGACGGTTGATGTGTGGAGGCAGTTCTTTGGGCGGTTTTTTATGTGGGAAGTGGAGTTGAGTTCGTCGGCTATGGAGACCGTGAATCTGTTGCTGGGGAGGTTTGTGGGCGGCAAGTATTGTACGTTGGACGCTGATGGTGGGAGTTTGATTGTTGGATGGAAAGGGACGCCCATTTTCTCTATTTCCACTTGGAAGTTCCTCCATTGAAACTTCGTTGGCATTGGAGTTCCCCCTCTGTTTTCTTATGTGCGGTGCCATTGAATGAAGGCTCCATTTCATTTTATCAGTTGGTGGGCTTAATTGCAAGTTTGGTCACTCGAATTGCTATAAAATTTCTGAATGGCTAAACATCGTCCTAATTTTACTGTTATCGCCCTAACTTTAAATATAAAATTACTAAATTAACCTTAATAAACCCAACAAACACACAGCCCTACAAATTCAAATCCCTAATTACGTTTCATCTCTGCCAATGAGGGCGGCGGCGTCCCTCCCCCACCTACGTTGGCCACCTGTCCTGTCATCGTCGGACTCCTCCCGCGGCAATCCCTCCAATGTGCTGCCGCTGTTCAACCTCGGTTCATCTAACTGGAGATGGAACCTCCTTCACCAGTTGGCTTCATTTTTACGTGGCCGACTCCGCTCTCCTTGTTATTAGTTCTTTGATGCATTGAGGAACTTTGAAACCCGATATGTCAAACATAATTGAAGATCTTTATTGCTTTAAGTGATTAGAAGGTAGGTGGACGTGGTTTGTCTTGGAGGGTGGTAGTGGTGGCGACGGGTGGAGGTGGTAGTAGCTAGATTGTTGTGTTAGAATAAAAAGTCTCGACAATTATAAAAGGATATAAATGTAACTTTAGTTAAGGGCGATTATAAAGTTAGGGCGACAATTAGCAATTCCCTAAAATTTTACGTTTGCCACTCAAATTATTTTATTCCATTTATAGTCACTCGAAATAGTTGAACAGTTCAAGTTCGATCACTCTCCGTTAACCTCCGTTAACTTTGGCTGACGTGGCGGTCAACTCTGACCGTTGACCGTTAAATGTGTGACGTGGCAAATAAAAAATAGTTAAAAAATAAAAATTAAATTTTTAGAAATTACACATCATTATCACAAAAAAATTATAATTATAAAAAATGAAAAAAAGAAATTTGAGGCGGACTCTGTACGGGATGGACACGTCCAGATCGATGTAGTTCCACGCGCGCTCTGTAACAAAAACCACCGCTCCTCCTCCCCTATTTTCCCCTGCCTCCGCCTTTGCCGCGTTCTCTACCTCTGCAAGCCGGAAATCCCCTGCTTCAACATAGCCTCTCTCCTCCCAACTCATCAACATGCGTTCTCCTCCATCCCTCTCAACAACTGTCAGATCAGAAATTAGTGGAGGAAGAGGGCGAGCATCAGCTAACAACGTTCTGGCCGGTGCCTGCTCCGCCGTCGATTTCGAAGATCACAACATCTCCCCTCTCGAACAGGCAAAAGAATTCGCTCCCCTAAACCCGACTGCCAAGCAAGGGTGGCCCTCCAAGTAGCCACAACTGTATCTCTTCCATAAGCGACCACCACGCCGGTAAGTATTGAAAGTAGCCCCGCCACCGGCGCTGGCGACGAGGATGGTCCACTCGATGGCGGCCGGATCGCTCGTCGGCGGCGCGGAGAAGCCGGCTCTGATACCCCTGGGCGAGGAGTCGGCGAGGGATGCGGGGAGCAACGGCTCAGATTGATGTAGTCCGTTTCTTCTCTGGCCATCCGATCAGAGAGAACAACACCAAACCTCCTGAAAATCTCGTCGACGACTCCAGACGGCGGACCCAATTGACGGACGAACAACGGCTCCAGCACAGCTCTCATCCCTTTCGCCACATTGCAGGCGCGATCTTGTAACCCTTCCGGCAACTCCGGTTCACCGTCGTGCGCATTCCAGCTCGATTCCCAAACCTTCAACCGATCAATCACGAAGGCGCCATGTTTACAAACTTGATCTTTTCAGGAGGTTTGGTGTTGTTCTCTCTGATCAGATGGCCAGAGATGAAACGAACTACATCAATCTAACCGTCTCCTTGACCAAGCTCTGATAATTAGAAACTAAGCTCGTGCACAGCCGCTGCCGGGAGAAACGGCTCTAATTACCGTGGAAGGAATTTCTTTTTATTTTTATTTTTTATAATTATAATTTTTTGTAATAATGATGTGTAATTTCTAAAAATTTAATTTTTATTTTTAAATTATTTTTTATTTGCCACGTCACACATTTAACGGTCAACTGTCAGAGTTGACCGCCACGTCAATCAAAGTTAACGGAGGTTAACGGAGAGTGACCGAACTTGAACTGTTCAACTAATTCGAGTGACTATAAATGGAATAAATTAATTTGAGTGGCAAACGTGAAATTTTATAGCAATTCGAGTGACCAAACTAGCAATTCGAGTGGTTTACTTTGAATATTTTTTTTTTAAAGATGTGTTCATTTAGATAAACGATTAGGCCAAGCCCACAAAGGGAAGTGTACAAGCAAACCAGTAGAAAAGGAATGAAAAGAAACCCAAAAAAAGAGGCCCAAAAGAAAACCCCGAGAGCCTAATAGGGTTCAGGCCCAGAGCCAAAACAAATCTGGGTCTCTCCCAAACCCTAACCGCAATGTGCCCCCTCTAAAGCTCCTCCACCGCCGCGGCTGTGCTCCGCCCCGCACCTGACCCGTCGCCGCCACCAACCCGAATCAAGCCATGGAACATGCACCGAGGAGATGCTGCTTCAAAGTGGAACATGCTTGCTGCTTCAAAGTGGTTTACTTTGAAGCAGCAGCTGATTCTTGCAGATGTTTGCGCCGAGGGCGATTTAGCGATGGGTAGGCTTGATGTTACGAAAGAAAAATAAGTTGTCAAACTACTTTATACCGGTATAGTAAGTGGTAGGATTTAATCGAGGGCAATACTTTGGCGGCTGTCTAGGTTGCAGCCCAGCGCTGCTACCCATTGACGTGGCCACATATTATTGGTTCAAACATGTTAATTAATTATTTAACTTAATTGGACTATGACGGGGACGGAAACCGGACGGAAACTGGCTCTTTTCTTAGACGGGGAGAAGCACCCCAAACAATGATGCCTCTTAAGTTTTATTGTATTATATTATAACTAGCGTGGGCCCCGGCCATTTGGCCGGAGGAAGGTGAGGTATAAAATTTGATAATGTAATGGGGTGTATAGCTTATTGTTGTATAGTTTTTTTGGGAAACACGTGATAAAAATATTGAATTTTAGTAGGAAAGAGACATGAATGATGCAACGAATCAAAAATCAGCCTTATGAACCAAAATCAAGTACCTGTTACCTTGTGAAACAATATTTTTTCTGGTAATATGATGAGGTGGAGTAAGTTTTATAGAAATCGAATTCCAGAAAATCGAATAAAAAATCGCCTATCCCACCGGTTTTCGGGAAATGAGCATCTCACAATCGTTGCTAGTTTTTACTCGGCCCGTTGGCCGATTAATTTGCTTTATAAAACTTTCATCTTGTCATCATTGTGCTTTCTGGTTTTTTGCCAAGCCATGATAAAATCTAAAGAAATCAAGAATGAACAACACGATTTGGGATAGGAACCACCGTTCCTGTATCCCTAGAAAATGGTGGTAAACATGGACTCACCTGCCAAACTGGTTTGGATTGAGATTTTTATCGGGTATCAGGGAACCATGTGATTATAAATTAGACTTGATCAAAACGGGCCAAAACTTGAAATTCAACCTGTTTGACCGACCCATGCCAAACTTTAATTATTCTTTACTTTTAAACTTTCTATTTGAAAATAAAAAATAATGAAAGAAAAGAGATGATTGCAATTCATCATTTGCACATCACTGATCCAGGAATAAAACTATAGAATTTCGAAAGGAAACTGAAAATGTTTAGGATCATTTTAATGTTAAAAAGAACCAAATAGATCTTTCTGTTTAGTTTTTTACTAACAAATACCAAACGATTCCCTATAATATATATTATAATTTAATCATTATGATATCAAATAATTACATAATATATATTTGAAATGATAAAAATTGGACTTAGTGGGTTGGTCGAGGTTGAACAATTGAATAACTTTAAAATACATTATATTTTAGCCACTAAGATATAAAATAATAGCATAATATATATTATGCTAGAGAAAGTAGCTTGTTTTAGAATGACAAACACATAATGTTCATTTGTTCTACTTGATGGGCAAATCCCGTGTAAGTCAGGCCCATTCAACTCTTTTATTTTATGATTAGTGGTTAGCCCATTAGAATCCATGAATTAGTTTATTGTTAATTTTTTTTCTTTTTAGCAATAAAAAGGAGTATTGTTTTTGCCTTTTCATATATATTTTACCACCATGGAGAAATAAAAGGACTTAAAGAAAAAAATTGACACTCCTGGACCCGTTTAAATCCGCACTTGTACGGTAAGTTGGCCCGTTCTACAGAGGAAAATGAAAACAATTGACACTCTCTATTCTACCCTTCCTACAAACGCTCATGGAGCAGGGAATTTGAAATGGGGAAATGGTTTTTTCCTCTCTGCGATTATATATTTTTAATTTAAAAAGATACAACAAATGTACTTAGTGTGATTGGTTATGATATTTGTTTTTCTTTAAAGTGGTCATGGTTCGAATCCTAGTAAGTGTCTTTTTAATGAATAAAAAAAAGTAATTGTGAAGACCAAAATGTCCTTCCTACTTTCACTCTGGATGCAGGAAATTTGAAATGAGGCTTCAAGTTTTCTCATTTGGCTTTTATTTATTGTGTAGATTGTGATATATGTTTATTAATTGAACAGTGAAATAATAATAAAATTAAACACTCCCATTCCATGCTTTACTTGCTTTTCAACATAGTTAGTAAATATTTCGCTTAATACACATATATGTGCCCGTACATACTTTATCCATTTAAAACTTTCATATTCGTATAATTGTCAAGCCATTTTATTTTTGTCCTTCATTTAATGGATCTCGTACTAAATATATATAAAACCAATATAACACGTTTAATATCCGTAGTTAATGAATTAATTTGTTAAATTTACTATTTTTTTATATATTTGTTTATTTTTTAAATAATTATTTTTATATATTTATTACTATTAAACGTAACATTAACATAGAGACGAATTAAAATACCCGTACGTATTTTTTTTGTAACTTTCCCATATCATATTTTACTAAATATGCGTTCCAGCCTAATATTGTTGTCCTCCAAGTCTCTTTGTCTTAAACATCACTGTCATAGTTTTCAGCTTTTTTATGTTTTTTATAAAAGTAAATATAATATAATAGTCAAATCTTTCATTTTAAACAAAATAATAGCCAATTCTAAAAAAGCCAAAACATCCATCCCAAATGAATTGTACAAAAATAGCAAGTACGAAATTCATCCCCTAAATGCTTAAATTAATTCTATAAAAATAATCTATTCAAACATAATCATAATCCTACTAAGTACCAAGAAAAAACAAACATGGGAGTGCACCTCTGTGTGTTTAATTTTATCATCTACCTTATTCACTAGTTTTTTATTCATTTTATACAAATCCAATTGGATTGCTCGGTTCATGGATGCTCCATATGAAAAATTATGATTTAGTACATATACTTTTTATTTTTTTACATTTTGATACTAAAATGTATTTTTAAATGAAAAATATAATTAGAAAATTAAGTGTTGGTACCTAAATTCTTTTATTATGGCTTTTTTCGTACCTAAACTTTCCGAAATTCGTGAAGAGTTTGGTTGTCGGATGGAAGGGAGACCTATTTTCTCGCTTTCCACTTGGAAGTTCCTTCACTGAAACTGATGTTGTAGATGGAAAGCTCTATGGACTTGAATAGATAGGAAGATGTGCAGGACTCGAAGAAGGAGTTGCAGTTGCAGAGCATAACATCAGCAAACTTGACGAAGGATCCTGGGATTGAAGGGCGATTCATTGTAGGGAAAACGTTTCGATTCTTCTCCTAGTAACCTATTTATCCAAATGGTGTCGGACTGTTTATTTTATAGTTCTCATACTTCTCTGTAATCTGTAATCTCCTCAATATAGTGAAACTGGCTCTCTCTCGCCCGTGGACGTAGCTAACACACATCGTGTTAGTGAACCACGTAAATCGTGTGTCTGTGTTTTCGATTCTTGCTTTCGTATTCTTGCTTTATCGATTCCGGCGATTTCCCGATCCGTAGCAGCGCGTTTATAACATTTATAGACCACTCTTTGTAGGCCATATAGCACTTACCGTTGCACTACAGTAAATTTGGAAGGAGGTTTCCCAGCTTGTAAGCTATTCTTAGGGCTCATTTGGAACCTCCGATTCCAGATGTTGTATTCTCAGTATACATGTATCCTGAGAATTCAACGTTTTTTTGACTTGATGTAATAATAGAATGCATGTATTCATAATCCATGTTGTATTCCTCATACATAGAAAATGATGTATTAATAATCTTACCTTTTTGTGAGATTTTAGTATCCATAGTTCATTTAAACTATAATCCATGCATTTTGTATGAGTTCCAAACAATGAATTTTCAAAACCACACATTCTTAGTATACACATAATCTTTAATACACACATTCTCGTAATACATCATTTCTAAAATCAAAGGTTCCAAACGACCCCTTAGTTCTTACACAATATTGTGTAGATCGACAACCTTATTGGCCAACATCTTTGTAAATAGACTGAGTTCTCGCAC